CATTTACGTGAAGGTCTAATATCATTCACTAATTTATACCATACTCCTTGATTAATTTTGAATTCAAACCATCAATTTTTTTAGTAAGTTTTAATTAATTTTAATAATTTTTTATTAAAAATAATTATTTTGGGTGAATAATCTATAAAAAAATTTGTGACTTTTCGAAAATTACATTCAATAAAAACGATTTCCTGGCATGAAAAATGTTATGACAATGTGAATATTGATAAACCCCAAAATGTAGGCCAAAAGTTTTATCGTAATTTATCAGGTACGTGAGATATAAATATCTATTATGTATTATTTGGGAGGAAACTTTGTTTATTTTTATTCTACTTTCTAGTTATTGGTTGAAAGAAACCTATGGCAGAATGCCAGAATATATATGCAAAACATTTATTTGGGTGGTATTCAGAAAAGCCAATCTTCAGTTTAAGCTCAAGTTGACCTTCCAAGTTGTACTAAGGTGAGATTTTTCAAGTCAAACATTTAAGATTGTTCTCCTCGATTAAGAGGTATTGTGTTCGAGTTTTATCGGTGATAATTTGTTAGAGTTATTTTGTATACACGATTTGTAGTAATTTATCTTAGACTATTAGGTACGGTACATCTTATCTTGACTTAGAGACTAAACAACTTATCTATCTCTAAATTTTTCTTATAAAAAAAAAAACAAAAAGTATACAGAAAATGATGGTGCATCTGAAATGTTTACACCATTAGTAGCTGAAGGGCATTCAACAATGAGTACAAGACTTCACCTCTGTTTGCAATGATTATGCAGTTTTGTAAAACATGCTACTGCTCAGCCAATTGAAGACCATTCCCAACATACCATAAACTGATAAACATATAAAATCAGGAGTTCATATTATGGTATTTGCCTTCTTAACTGCTATTTTAGTAATCGAAAGTGAGGCTGCATTAATACCCTTTTCTGTTTCTGCTTAACTTACTAAACAAAGAAAGGGCATCCATCATCACTGAAGAAAGCGCCACAATGGTCCCCTATATCTGGACCAATATTGGCTTATTATAAAGCATCCAATGTAAACCAGAGATAAAGCTGGATTGAGTTCATGGTGATTACAAAATGCTACATTTACATTTCTTGTCCTGAACTATGTATAAAAATGGAAAATTTATTACATAGGACTGATTGCCTGGTTTACTATATAAACTGTATCAATCAATAATACAGAATATCATCTCTCATTCCTTATATTAAATCACAACTATTTAGTACAATAACTACACCTGTGATTTTATAAGTTGAGAAATGACGATAAAGAGTGAAATTCTTCAGAGTGAAAAATGAAACCATAATGTGTCTTATTTTCATAAAAATAATAATTTAAGGTAAGTTCAGTTCCGATTTTTGCAAAAAAAAAAGGGCAGTTGCAATATTTGACCGTAGCAGCAAAGGTCAGACAATTCAGTGTAACAATGATCTTGTTGGTCCTATAAGACATGCTCCTGAGCCATCCGCACACAACACTTCATTGTCTCCTCACTCGTTTTATGCTGAAACAAGTCACAAAGATGAAGCTTCAAAATCTCTCACTCCTTACTCTCATTCACATTACCTCACTGCTGCTCGTCTTAGCAGACTCAACTCAGCCTCCATTCTCCTGCGACACATCTGACCCACTAACTAAATCCTACCCTTTCTGCAAAACTACACTCTCCACCCACCAAAGAGTCCAAGATCTTATCTCCAGGCTCACATTAGATGAGAAGATATCCCAACTCGTTAACTCAGCTTCTGCCATTCCAAGACTTGGCATCCCTAGCTATGAATGGTGGTCCGAAGCCTTACATGGTGTTGCCTATTCGTCCAGAGTCAGCCAAGGTGTGCGTTTCAATGGAACAATTCAATCTGCCACCAGTTTTCCTCAAGTCATTCTCACTGCTGCTTCCTTTGATTCTCATCTTTGGTACCGCATTGGTCAGGCAAGTCCTCTAAGTACTGTTCCTTATTGAACTGTAAATTCATCTTTGGTGTTTCTTTTGTCTTTCTAGTTTCTACTATTCATTTTTGAGTTTGAGATTGCTAACAGGCAGTTGGAACAGAAGCTAGAGCAATATACAATGCTGGACAAGCAACGGGAATTACTTTTTGGGCACCAAACATTAATATATATAGGGATCCAAGGTGGGGGAGAGGGCAAGAGACACCCGGTGAGGATCCATTGGTTACAGGGAGATATGCAGTGTCATATGTGAGAGGGATACAAGGGGACTCTTTTGAAGGAGGGAAACTTGGTGAACATCTTCAAGCTTCAGCTTGTTGTAAGCATTTTACCGCTTATGATTTGGATAACTGGAAAGGAGTGAACCGATTTGTCTTCAATGCCAAGGTAAGTGTAAACTTCAAAATTTTGACATTATTATTATTAGTATTTGTTTGCTTTCTTGCTTTTGATTAATTTGGAAGATTCCATTTAAATTGATGATTCTAATTTTTCTGGATTTCAGGTCAGCTTACAGGATTTAGCAGATACATATCAACCTCCATTCCAGAGTTGCATACAGCAAGGGAAAGCCAGTGGGATAATGTGTGCTTATAATCGTGTTAATGGAGTACCCAACTGTGCAGATTACAATCTCTTGTCAAATACAGCCCGAGGGCAGTGGGGTTTCAATGGGTAATAATGACAAGGCCCTTTTCCTTTTGGAAAAAACAATAACAATAATACAAAAAGACATGTTCATTCAGAAAGATGATTTTCGTGATTTTCTTGGTTAAAAAAATAATCAGGTACATCACCTCTGACTGTGATGCTGTCTCCATCATTCATGAGGAACAAGGATATGCTAAATTACCAGAGGATGCTGTAGCTGATGTTCTTAAAGCTGGTATTTGAGAGTAGTTTTGTTGCTTGTTAGTGTTAAATCGTCATTTTTATCTACAATTTGCTAGTTTTTGGTCTTCAAAAGCTAGGCAATGTTATAACAAAAACTTAGGACAGTATGCCAAGAGCCACGTTAAAAGTTCTAGGAATGGTTCCATAGTTGATGGATGCGAATAGCATCATCTGAACTTTTGATCAATGAATTTTACAGGAATGGATGTCAACTGTGGTACCTATTTGAAGAACTACACAAAATCAGCTGTCAAAAAAGGAAAATTGCCTATATCTGAAGTAGACAGAGCCCTTCACAACCTTTTCTCTGTCAGAATGAGGCTGGGGCTTTTCAATGGCAATCCAGTTAAACAGCCTTTTGGTAACATTGGTTCAGACCGAGTCTGTTCCCAAGAGCATCAGAATCTTGCCCTTGAGGCTGCTCGCAATGGCATTGTCCTTCTTAAAAACATTGACAAACTCCTTCCCCTTTCAAAAACAAAAACTACTTCCCTTGCAGTAATAGGCCCTAATGCCAATTCTGCGAAAACACTAGTTGGAAACTATGCAGGCCCTCCTTGCAAATATGTTACGCCGCTGCAAGGATTGCAAAGCTATGTTAAAGACACCAGGTATCACCCAGGTTGTAGTGAAGTTAATTGTTCTTCTGCTTTGACTGATCAAGCAGTTAAGATAGCAAAAGGAGCACAGCACGTGGTGTTAGTAATGGGATTGGATCAAACCCAAGAGAGGGAAGATCATGATCGTGTAGACTTGGTTCTTCCACCAAAGCAACAGAATCTGATCTCCAGCGTTGCAAGAGCTGCTAAAAATCCAGTTATTTTGGTGCTTTTATCTGGAGGTCCAGTAGATATCACCTTTGCCAAATATGATCAACACATAGGAAGCATTCTATGGGCCGGTTATCCAGGTGAAGCTGGAGGTCTTGCCTTAGCTGAAATTATATTTGGTGATCACAACCCAGGTGAATTTTCATTCATAAAGCTTGTATGCTATTAATAATGTCCTTTCTTTGCATGATAAACATAACGGCATAAGACATTCTTGTACTGGAGATAAATTTACTAAAGTTGTATGCTTCATATTATATGCAGGAGGGAGATTACCAGTTACTTGGTATCCTCAAAGTTTCACTGAAGTACCGATGACAGACATGAGAATGCGTCCGGAACCATCTTCAGGCTATCCTGGACGCACTTACAGATTTTACCAAGGACCAAAGGTTTTTGAATTTGGTTATGGTCTCAGCTACTCAAATTATTCTTACGAATTTCTCCCTGTAACGCAAAACAAGGTCTATTTAAACAATCAGTTAAGTTCTCAAATGGTTGAGAACTCGAATCCTCTCAGATACAAGCCAGTTTCAGAGATAGGAACAGAACTTTGTGATAAGAGAAAGTTCCCAATCGCGGTTAGAGTTCAAAACCATGGGGAGATGGCAGGTAAGCATCCACTTTTGCTAGTTGTGAGGAAGGCAAAAGCTGGAAACGGGAGGCCTGTGAAACAATTGGTTGGATTCCACAGTATTAATCTGAATGCAGGGGAAAGGGCCGATATTGAATTTGAGTTGAGCCCATGTGAGCATCTTAGCACGGCCAATGAAGATGGTTTGATGGTGATAGAAGAAGGATCTCATTTCTTGTGCATTGGAGACAAAGAATCAGAGATATCAGTCATTCTTTGATACAGATGACTGGCTCTTCAAAGCACAGAAAATTTTACAGCCAATGAACCATATCTGTCTATCTATAATACAGCTATAGAATAAAATGCTGTTTTGCCTCCTTTGAGAATAGTCATTCTATGATACAAATGACTGGCTCTTCAAAACACGATAAACTTTACAGCCAATGAACCATATCTATCCATAATTCAGCTATAGAATAAAATTTTGTTTCGTCTCTTTTGAGAGTAGCTTTCTCTTACTTGCAGATAGAATCTTGCAAATTACTCGAGCACAATTTTGTTTCCCAAACAAATCTTTTTCTTCTGCTATAACATAAGAACTTAGGAGCAAAAAAGAAATCCGGTAAAAGAATCAGAACCAGAATATGAATATGAATTGGCAGACAAGAATATAATTTCAAGGTAGATTCATCAAGGAAAATGAACAGCAATTACCCAAAATAGTACTTCTAAGACAGAAGCTGTAGCATTTTTATATTAGAATTATAATAGAATTCAAAAATAAGTTATACGTCCTCTAAACCGAGAAATTACGAAACAATTCACATAACAAATAGCAGACAACAGCATATTCATATGCCAAGTAGTTCATATGCTAACTAGTAAATTAGACTCATAAATAACCCCAAACCACACTCTATTCATCTTCCTCCTGGTACAACTTCAAAATCTCAGTGCAGCCACTTTCAGCCTCATCAGCCATGAAACCCATGGCATTGGCATAACGAGTGTTGGATGCAATGCCATTGAAATTGGTCAAGATCACACGGGCACGTTCACGTCCTGGGGACATTTGAGCACAGTCAGGCTGGGAGCTCTTAACAAGAACAGCATCACAGATCTCATCCAAATGATCCTCAGACACAACAATCTTGTATTGTCCAGTTGAGTCTGTGTATCCCTCCCTCTTGTACACAACTTCGCCGGTCTTCCTGTCAGAGCATTCCACCTTCACCTTGGCACCTACAAAGCACATGACCAGTAAACCGAATTTCAAAACCAAATACAACGAATTTTACCATTAATCATCCCAAAAGGAAACAGCCTATACTCAAATCTAGCGAAAACTAAATCCAATTCCAACAAAACCAACACCCAATGGAGTTAATCAGATAACAACAATATGTTCCATCTTCAAGAACCAGCATTTTTATGTTCATAAAACTATGAGCAAAGCTATCATTTTGGAACCATAAAGCTTTTTCCTTTTTTTTCTTAAAAGTTACAACTTCAAATAAATCACCTAGAGATGAACAAAAGTTGATCCTTCAGTTGTCAAAATTTTAGTAAAAAAACTATAATATTGTTAGGCTAATTAGTACTTATCATTTGCCGTTTTTTCAAGATTTGAACTTTGTGGTTTTCACTAGTGAAAAAGACCAATTGACCACCAGTCCAACAAGTCATGGTTGTTTCCATTATTTTATGTTTCATATATATCCCTATTACTTTGCACTGATGTAACATCAACACCCAAAACTACTTAACAGATCTACCAGTTCACAAACTAAGAAACCAGATACAACAATGTCACCAACATAATACAAAAACGGAAACATAGAAACGCATATAAGAATAACAGAAATGGAAATTACCAGCCATATTCCTAGTCTTTGGGGTTTCAAACCCAGCACGGCAGCGGTCACAGTACACGGGTCCTTGCACCACCAATGGGTTCTTCACCATGCGTGTAGCACTAACCAGGGCCGGAAGCACACACAGCGCAATCAGCAACAATATTTTGGCCATATTTTTTGCTTTATTTTTTTTTCTGTTTTTCTCTTGAAATGTGAAGAAGAAATGGAAACAGAGTTTGGAGATTAAAATTCTAAGCAACAAAAATCGAAAAGGGTAAAGAGATTGATGATAAATTGGAGTGATAGAATGAAATTAAACAAAATTGAAAAAATGAAAACTGGCTGAGACGCGTTAAGAGAGTGTATTCGTGTGCGGTTGATAAATATAATAAAGTTACTGCATTTGGATGCCACGTCAAAATGTGGTGTTGATTTGGTAATATTTAAGGGAGGTAAAGATGCTTTGGTGAATGGATGAATTGGGTGATGATGTGGCGAGGTTTTGTTATTAGGATAGAGGGGAGAGTACAGATGAGAAGAGTAGAGGATAGAACTGTGGTCCTGATTGATTGCAGCTGGTCGGTGGTCCCATGGGGTATTTAAGAGGATTGCCAAAAGCAAGCAAATTTGGGGATCGGGAAGGGGGAATAAGGTGATGGCATTATTTGGCAGCTGTTTTGCATTAGGAGCATTTATTTCTTCATTTTACACCAGCAATGACGCTTGTGGCCAGTCCATCTGTGTTCATAGATTCAGGTTCTTTACCCAAAGGTTAAGGGCCAAGTGCGCAATCCAAGTTCATAGAGACAGGCCTGGAAAGAGTTGGCTTTTTTCCTCTGGGGTTTTGGACTATGGTCCAGAAAGAGAATTTCTCATTGGAAATTTTATGAAACATGGGCAAAGCAAGGATTAGAAATTTATTTAGAATGAGAATCTTCTAAATAAAGTGATTCACAAAATATTTCTTTACTTCCAAATTTCACTTCCCTTCTTAACTCACTCTCAGATGAACGGGGTTAGCTGAGTGGCTAGTTAGTGAAGCCAGGCAAGGCCCAATTACAGGTGTATGGGAGGGCGACTTGTGGTTGGGCTTACTGTAATCTTAGGAATATTAACAGCCATTGAAGCCTGGACTGGATGATCAATAATGGTTTATATCAAGCTTTAGCCCTTCGGCTATAACATTAATATCTAGGAGGAAATAAAAGGTGTTTGAATTGTCCAATTAATTTTATGAATACAAAAGGATTCTTCCAGTAAAAATTAAAAAGGTTTTGAAACCATTTGGCACACTTTCAGTTGACTTTAACTCTCCTATAAACATAAATTAAACTGTCATAAGAGGAAAATGATAGTAGACCAAAGTATCAACTTGCATGCGAAGTTAATTCTATTTATGTTTTATAACATAGTATCAAAATTCGTCTTTATACCCTTTTTTTTCATGTGATAAAAAATTATTTTTTTGAAAACTTCAAATCCATCAATTGATAGGTATCATGCGCTTTGATTACATTTAAATTATAAATAAATATATATAAGTGTTTTATCTATATATAATATCACATAAATGTTTCATAGTCCAATATGCATTCAATAAATTGTGTATGTGCTTGTGCTTCTAAGTTGAATTTTTTTATACCACTAATATAACAGAGGACATACACTCATTCTCAAGTTTCATTTTTTTAATTTAACTTTTTTTCAACTAATTTGTCAATAATAATATTTCATGCATTTAATCTAAATTAATACCCGGATTTCTCACCAAAAATTTCTTCTATATGTTCAGGTCCCAACCTTTTTTTTTTTCTTCTTTATCAATTGTGAACTGATAATTGTCCTCTATCCATGGGCAGGTATAATATATAATTGCACAATAAAGAGTACAATATGTCCCTACAAATAATTTACTAATTTGTACTTTAGAGGTAGCACAACTCCTGTTTTATGTCGTCTGCACGTCTTCGTTTTTCAGTCAGTTTCTAAATATATTTTTGGTTCTTAGGCCCATTTGTTGTTGTGACCTGTGATCCAAAGAGATGAGACAATTAAGGTTCAAAAAGAGGCCCAACTTAAGGCTTAAAATAAAGTATAGTAGGCAGTAAAAGCTGAAAGTCTCGTAAGTCACAAATTAAATTTAATCGTACCCGGAATCAGCTAGCGAACAACAGAGATGAATTGAAAAAAAAAAACAAAAAAGGCTAACAGTGATGGTGGGGACAGTCTTTTAAATTGCTGCTCTTTGCTACTAATGAGCTGTGCGCACTTTGCTGTGTGCACGCGGCAACTTGCTTTTATTTTTAGTTTTCACCCCACAAATGGTACTCAAGAATCGAGCTTTGAGTGGAACCCATGGAAGCAAGAAGTGACAGTCTAACCTTTTATGCAGAAACCAATCCATCATAGGGTTTATATCTAGGTCCATGTCAGTGGGAGATACCAATTATTACAATATAAATTTATCTGTCATCCGACTGTTAATTTTTTTCCCTTCTTTTCTTAATCGTTTTTCATCAACCCCTAGGCCCTAGCAGGCCCTAGCAGTACTGCAGAACCTGCATTTCATGATTAATGAAGGTAATTTTTGCAGGTGGGCGCCCTATTGTAATTGATTATATTCATAGGGGAATAATGGCTCAAGCATAATTCATACTACTAAAACCAGTTATAATTGTTTTTTTATAAACTTTTATCATATTTTACATCAACTTAATTATAGCTTAAAACAATACCCAAAATTTGGATGTAATTACGTTAAAGGTATTTTTTTTCAATGTTAATTAAGTAAATGATTATTAGAACTAGATTAATTACTAAAGAGAAGAATTTTATGAGTGTGATCTTTAGGAGAAACATTTCAAAAATAAAAACATTGGGTTTAATGTATCCATGTAAAAGAAAATATGTTCATAAAATTACTAAAAAAGATGATTAAGTTAAAACAAAGATAGGAGGAAATCCTTTTACTATTAAAAAAGGTTAAGTAATTGATTAAAAAAAATTTTGGAAAAGACATTACTGAAGAAGACGAAGTTGATTTTTATTCTTGAGATTGGTGGATGCCAGCCAAACAATAAGTACTGATAATTGATGTAGAAGCAAGTGATGACGCTTTCCGAAATCTCCCACACTAGGGTACTGAGAGTAAACGTAGCTCGCAAGAAAATTTTCACCTTTGCTTAACAATCTCATTGGCAAAATTATTAAGAAAACAACTATTCGTAACACAAACGTCGACATTGATCTCATCAACTTCAACTCAGTTGTTCACATGTGTTGTTTCTCAAGTCAAGCATATGGACCACTGATAAAAATGGGTCCAAACCCCAGAATGACACTCCTTACATATATTGCATTGGAATGGCATCACAGCAGAGAATTGGGAAACGTACAGAAAATAGGAAAACCGCCTTTCATTAAGCCATCAATCAATCTCTCTCCCTCTCTTGCTCAACGGTCCAAATCGTTTTATTACTTACCAGGGTGTCAGGCTAATTATCAGCAAGTGTGGAGCCGTTTAGCTTGATGTTGATTCCAGCCAAGTAATTTTCAGCCTTTCAAGATCATTACGTTTGTATATGTACTCACCAAAGGGTGATGAGTTCTGGCATTACATTATTTTGGGTTCTTAAAAACTAATTTGAATAGTACGTTAAATATCAGTTTGATCCAGATTCTTCATTTCAAATTGGAAACTGAGTGAAAAAAATATATATATTACTTTTCACCTTTCTTTTAATCATCTTTTTAGTTTGAACAACAATATTTGAACCCAAATCAATCTCCAACGTGCTTAATTGATTATTAAGAACAATAAGTTACTGAAGTGACTTGGATAGTTGGATTTCTCTGACCTTTGATTAAATTAAACAAAGAATTAGCATTTTGGGAGAGACAGGGCCGGCTGTTTGCATGCTCACATTGCATTGTGCTTCACGAAACCAGGATGGATGGATTCTTAAAAGTTTGTTTCCTGCCCTCTCTCTGTCCCTCTTTCCATCTCTTTCTTAGGTCATCATTTTGAAGAAAAAGTGGCTTCACTTTAAAGAAAGAACAATGCCAAGTATGTTACAAATGCTGAGAATATATAACTTTCTTTTCTTTTGAAAAAAAGAATGGAAAAGACTCCATGTTATATCAAATTATAGAGTGAAACTACTATTGAAGATTTCAACTGTGTTTTGGAAGCCAAATATCCAGGCAAAATCTTATCTAATCGCGCAAATATTTCATATTATTCCCCAAACTGATTTGCAGCTTCAAAACTAGGTGCTGGAAATCTCAGATATGAAGCAAAACAGTTTCCCTTACTATGATAAAAAAAGTTATATATGCTACAGGAATATGCACTTCTTTTTTACTTATTTCTGGCATATTCTCCACATTAAAAGAACCAAATGCTTTAAGAAAAAAAAATATAACTTTACATTTTGATAGCTCAAAATCTCATCATCCAGCTTACTCAGATCCCCAACTTTCCACTTCATGAACACATTTCTTGTCACTGTCATGGATACTGTAATTAGGAATAATATATATAAGAGAGTTTTTTTTTTTTTTGGCAAAGATCATATAACAGATAGTTAAGTATATGCATATTAAAATTTTTAGTCATCTAAGTTGCATAATAATATTAATAATCTTGTGTAAGTGTTCTTTCAAAGTAATTATCAATATTTTTTATCATTAACAATCAGATAAATATATTAAGATATTAGTTTGTCTAATATAAATTTACTAATTTAAACCCTCTTCATCCCTCAAATAGTGTTTACGTTTAATTTTAAATAGCAAAGATTTGGAAAACAACATTATAATCTAAAATAAATACTATAAATGGTAGTAAGAAACAATAATGACATGGATCATGTGCAGCCATGCAACATGAACTAAAGTATTAACATATATGGTAGTTAGTGATATTTTTCCCTAACAAACTACTGTAAGAAGCAAACATAATTTAGGCCTAGACTTAATTGTCAACTGCTTGCTTTTTTTTTTTTAATCTTTCGTAAATGAATTATGGGCACAACAATGAGAAGCAGGGTGGATGTCTCATCCCAGCTTCTATGAAAGTAAAAAAAATAAGTCAAAAATGTTGCACTCATATTTTTCTTACCCTCAATAATGTTGCACTCTCAATAATTACGTGAGCATGGTGCAACTGACAATATATATATTTTTTCAATAAATGGTAAAATGTTCCAAATTCATAAATATGACACCATAACTACTCATACCCCAAATGGGATTTCTTCAAACTTCAGCAAAGAGTTTTAATTTTGACTAAAAGTGATAAATTATCCTATATAGAAGTATTTAAGAGATGCTGATAACTGATAAATCTTAGCCCTAATAGCCATGAATTCAACAAAAGTAGAATCTTCCACACCAATAGTCATATAGAAGATAGTCAACATCGAGTTTCATATAGCTAGGAGGGGGACGGGACCGGGGAATATTAATTGGACGCGATGAACTTGGTAGAAATAGAGGAGGGATTTAGAAAAAAAATCATTAACAGATGCATTCGCAGAAGGCCATTTACCTTGCATCGGTAAGCGAGCCGAACTCTAATGACGTCGATCAACTGCATTATATCCACTTGCTTTTGTCTAAAAAACGATTTAATTTCTATGAAGCCATAACGACCAGATTGTGACAAAGAAGGCCATTCTCCACGGTTCGACATGGAGCTTGCGAACCTATTGATGACACCTCAGAAATTGCAGCAAAGCATCCAAACTTTCCCGGATACAAAACAGTTAAAGAAAAACATGGTCAAACGTTTCAACATGTTTGCAACAAAAAGAGCGAAGGGCAGAACTATCCTCTAAAATACCCCGTATAACAAGTTCTTCTATCATTGCAATTTTGCCATTTAAACCTGTCAGCGAAAAATTTCGACCTTGGGGGGGAAAGTCCAGACCAATCCGTTTTTCAGATAGTGGAAGAATGAAGTAACGGAGAAACAAAAAGGTTTTACAAAACGATTTAGTTGAATAAAGCCAGTTGGAGGAACCTTTCTAAATAATTTTATCTGGATTAATTTTATAGGGACATACATACTTCACAGCTACAATCTTTTTTGCTTTTAAGTTTTAATTTATGACCTTGTACCATAAATAAGATTAATAACTAGCTAGGGTTTTGAATTTTCAAAGGACATTGACATTTAATTAACATGCAGGTTTTGCATGTGCATGAAAATTATTTTGATTTAACCAATTGAAAATTTTCCTACAATGCAAGCAGCAAGTGGGCAGACCACCCTGGGGCTCAGCCAACCTCCAAAATAATTGATGTACGGTGGAATAGAAAAGGTCTAGAGAATGACTCATCATCAGCTTGGGAGTCCATTAATTGGTCTAGCTGGATTTCAGGTTTTTGCACTGTATATAATAGAATCTATAGCTTTTTCTTCTTTCTCTTTGTATTCTTTCCCCCATTCCCCACTCTCTTTTTTCCTCTTCGATGAATAAAGGAGGAGGCATCCTCTGTTCCTTTCTGATTTTGTTTTATCGATCTCAAGATGTCGCACACCATATATACAAAATATGCACATTGCTTCAATTGAAACGTGCCACGATTTGCTACCATTTTTTTTTTCATATAACCCCTCATTTTATACCAAAAGGAAAGAACAGCATAAAATAAAAAGTAATATATATATATATATGTATACACATAAACTCACTATATATATTATATTTAATGCCAATTCTTTATACATAATGCTACTTTCAGCATTTACTCTATTTATTCTTCTTCAATATATAAGAGTGATTTTTGTGTAGAAGACTTCAAAAAAAATAATATCTTAAATATACCATATTGATACGGTGAAATCCGGCACTAGTATCATTTAGGGAAAAGATTAGGACCAAATACAATTTGGAAACATCCCTAATCATATTTAAAAAATGCTACAGACTCACACTCAAATTTATGAACAACTAAAATGTTTCTGATCACGAAATTGGTAATTCTAAGCACATTGAAATTTATGGACAATGTAATCCAAAGGTTGCAATCATGAAATTCTAATTCAAATAAAGTAAACATGATGCCCCGACGATAGGCAAATTTCACTAAATGTTAAGTGCTTCATTGGTAATAATTAAGGGTGTAAATGATATATTAGTATTCTTAAATTATTTGGATTCGATTCGAAGAAAATTCGAATTCGATTCGAAGAAAATTCGAATTCGATTCGATTATTATCGAGTCGAGCTTGAGCTTGAATAGTTCGACTTATCAATTGAATCGAATTTGAGTATTCTTATATTCGATTCGAGTAGCTCGTGAACCTAATCGAACTTTTATATTTAAATATATTTTTATTATTTTAATTAATAAAATATTTCGAGTTCGAGTTCGAGCATGAATAATCAAACTCTTATCGAATATACGAATCGAGTTTATTTTTACATATTAATCGAGCTTAATCGAACGAACTCGAGTAACTCGAATTCGATAACGAATCGAACTCAAACTTAAAAAATAAAATTCAATTAAATTTAAATCGAATATCAAACATCGAATCGAATTCAAACTCAAATTTTTTATTATCCAATTCGATTAGATTGCGATTACATTCTTATTAATAATGCAAAATGCAAAACAAGGTATAAAAAATTGAAAAGTGAAAACACAATTTACTTAAAAAAATGAAAGAATTTTACTTCCCACCAGCTTCCATGAGATGTACTTTCTCAGAATAAATTCCTGAATGTGTACAACTACCATACAGATATCTAGCAGAGACTATTAGTGTTCTGGCAGCAGCATCCTATCTGGCATTGGAAGTCGAAACAAATTGGCCTTTTCAAGGAAGAGTCAATACACTGTGTGTGAGAGAGAGAGCATTTTTTAGAAAGGGTGAAGAAATATCATCCAAATCGATTTAATTGATCGAAATTGATAACAAGTTGTCAATTTGATTTGATTTATTTAATTTTATTTTTTTATAATGAACCTTTTAGGTAGATTAAATTTATTAATTATTTTTTTTAATTTTTAAATTGATAATCAAATTAATCAAGTTAAAATTTTTTTTAATAAATAAAAATTAAAATTAAAATGAATACTTTTATTTTTTATAAAATATTATTGAAATTATTAAATTTTTTAATAATTTTATTTTGAATGATATTTAAATTTAAAATTTATTAAATTAAATTTATAATTAAATAACTGTTTATAATAAAAAATAAAAAATTTAATTATTTAATTAAATCTATCAAATTAAATTAATTTTAATCAATTCAATTATAATAATAAATTATTCTAAAAATTTTATCAATTCAATTACTTGTTAAATAAAAATTAATTAATTCAATTATTAATTTCTTCCTGAATCCATCAATTGTTTACCCCTATAATGTTAGACTTTAGGTGCTACGGTGCAGATGATTTTGCTTCCTGTGATACTTTTATGTCTTTAGATACCGTGAAGATTTCATGTCTCAATATTATTGAGACATGTATGAACGAAATTGCAGTAAATTGTACATTATTACTAATTTTTTGTGGGGATTAAATAGTTTCTCATTTTTAACATGTTTCTTTAGATTGGTACCAATTTTTAAACCTATTTGAGAACATTTGAAATTTACTTATTAACAATGTCTTTGACATTTGCATTCTTAAATTAGTGATATCATAAAATTAATTTATTCTCTTTTACCCAAAAGAGAAAATTTTACTAGAATTTGTTATAACTTTTCACTTTCCTCATACAAGTAAAAAGGACAAGGAAAAACAATATGAAAAATAAAGGAAAATATTATAATTATTAAAATTTAAATTTTAAAAATTATTATATAGACTAATTAAATTTAACTACAAATTTAATTAATTCAATTAGACTCTAAATCCTTCCCCTAACTGAGTTTACTCTCTAATTTGGACATAAAGTGATTACTTTCCATATATGTAGTATAGTTGTATTTTTCTTCCAACATTGCTGTAGTAAATTATTTCATGTCAGGACAGCTGACCTGATGACTCACTAATTTGTTAGGCTCCAAACCCTGTCCACCCAAATAAGAATGTAATATATTATATATAGAAGAAGATTAATTCACGTTAATGTAAATTTTTTTTAAAAAAAATTAATTATTAATTTTAATTGATTTAAGGATGAGAAATAAATTAAAAAAATTCATTTCATTTTTTAAATTTATTAAAATTAAAAATTATAGAAATTATAAAAATTTGTTAGATCCTCACCTATATACGTAAAAGAGAAATAATTGGCAGTTAAAACTAAAAGAAATTGACTGCTGTCATTGGAGAATGAGAGTATCCTAAGCTAACTATTTCATTTATCCTTAAATTTAATATATAGAATGAAGTGGATTTGCCAGATATGATGCAAATACCCAAAACTAGAAAAAAAGAATTAAATAAGAAAAGAATGAACGGCTCAGATTCATTCCTCGGTTTCTGGTTTTTCTTTTATGTGCCCCATCTCCACTTCTTCTACACTCCTCCGTCTCTTCCCTCTTCCTTTCTCAACTCCCTTTCTTTCAAGCTTTTCCTTGGAGACCTTTCGAGGAGCTCCGTAAAGAAGAAAAGATAAAGAAGGAGAAGAAGATGTTGCTGGGGAAGAGGCAAAGGCCAACAATGAAGAGAACAACAAGCATGACGAAGATCACTTTTGATCTCAACGCAAACAACGCTGAAGCTCCGTCGTCTGATCCACATAACCCTTTTAACAACTACCCAAAACAAGCCGCCGACCTTTTCGGTGATGTTTGGGGTCCACAGATACAGGCTAATGGTGGTGGTGGTGGTGGTGGTGGTGTTGGGGGTGGTAACCGCCTTGAGAGGTTGGATCAACGATTGTTGGCGACGGTGTCACCTAGAGTTAATAGAAGGCATTCAGCTGATTTTATGGAAACCCCTCATTTCTTAAGGTCTTGTGGTCTTTGCAGACGTCGCCTGGTTCCTGGCCGTGATATCTACATGTATAGGTAAGTGTTTCCCCTTAAACTATCTATTCTTTATCTTTTTTATGGTATATTTTGATTCAATATTTTTTAAACATTTAATTGTGAAAATTTAATAAGAAAAAGAGTTCCAATCTTAAATCTTAACTTCTTGAAAAGGATCAGAATTACTAGACCAAGTTTAAATCATCTGGCAAACAATTCACTTAAGTTTTGAAAGAAAAAATCTTTGGTTCATAGCCTGGTTTTTGTTGAATTTTTTAGATGTTTTGAAATTTGATTATTTGGGGTCAAAATTTTCAGTACATTACTGTTTTTTTTTTCTTGTCCAGGCTTCTTGGGGTTTCATTTTCTGAAAGACAATTTGCTATGGGGAGCTTTTGTTTTATTCTTAGTTTCGATTTTTTCTTTTTGCTAATGTTGTTTTTGTTTTGACATAGGAAGGAATTTCAAGTTACTTTCTTACGCAGACTCTTCCCCAGTTCTTGTCTTTATTAACTTTGTAAGATGTAAATTATTTATTTGTTTCAGGGGTGATAGTGCATTTTGCAGCCTAGAGTGCAGGCAACAGCAGATGAACCAAGACGAAAAAAAGGAGAAGTGTTCGATAGCATCCAAGAAACAAGCCACCGCCTCTTCTACCGCCAGATCAGGCGTCTCTGCCAAAGGCAATACGGTTGCCGCCGTATAGATATTAATCAATGTTGCACAAAGGGGTTTTACCCAATCTCAAATTCCATCGTACTAGAAGGAATTAATATAAGGGAAGTGCAAGTTTAACTTTGTATAATGCCAGATGGGGTAAAGCTTTTGGACATGTTATTTTATGTGAATCAAGAAAAAAAAAAACCTTATAAAAAAATTGAAATCTGTACTTCTTCCTAGTGGCCTTTTAATCTCTTGTTATCTTTTGGTAGTAATGGAAGAAAAACATTGCAGATCTTCACAAAATTTCATTGATCTCCAATATTATGTTCTTTTGGCAGTCTTATAGTGAATGGCTTCATTGCAAACTTAGTTCATTTGGTTTTGAAGAGATTCTTCTTGGTGTATTGGTTTTAGGTTTCGATTCATGACTCATGAGGCACTTCGTTAAAAAAAATGTTTGCCCCGCGAGAATGTCATTGAGACTTTAATGATTAAAAAAATTTATTTGATATATTAATAGTAAAATTTTTTAATTTTACAAGTAAAGTTAAAATTATAATATATGTTTCATTTTTTAAAATATTTTTAAATATATATTAATGAATATATTATTATATTAATCTCACTTATAAAAATAAAAAAATTTACTGTTAATATATTTGATAATTTTATTATTATTATTAATACTTATTTTAGGATTTCTTGAATGTACAAAACCTAACATTTCTTATTCATCAATAAAAAGTAAAAAAAAAAATTTCCGAGCTCATATTTTTAGGAAGTGAAAGTAAATTCACAAAAAAACAAAAAAAGATGAAATTAATAAATTTTCTCATAATTTTCGTAATACACCTAAAAAGGATTATTCTGTTAATGTGACGTTAACCATTGATTAGTGCTCATAAAGCAAATTTGGGAGCAGATGGGAATCTGTGGCCTAGTCAGCCTTGCGTATCGTGGGTCCCAATTGTACAAAACAAAATGAAAAATAAAAATAAAACAATAAACCAAAAAAAAAAAAAAAGAAACAAAGTAAAGAGATTCATTTGGAATAATATTGGACAGGGAGTCGTTGATAGTGAATGTGGGACCACTCCAATGAATTAGAAATTGTCCCCACAAAGTTTTTTTCACGTGGACCCAGGTGGTGGCTCCACATGGCTTTATGATTTTAACTCCGGCCATACGATTTGGAGGAAATATACTCCGAGTCTCCACTAGATTTCTCTTCTCTAAATTTTTTAGAAGAATAAAGGAAAAAAAAAAAGAAAAAAAAAAGGGTAATGAATGAATGAATGATGATAGGTGAAACGATACGTGACCAATGTACCCTATGGCGGCCCGACGAAGTTCCTATCGGGACCAATCCCTATAGGACCACTTCCTATTGATGCCTTTTGCTACTAATTAAAGACGAGCTGGTCTCTCAAATTCATAGTTCATTTTATTTATTTATTTTTTTATAAAACATAGAAGCGCAGGTGAGAAAGATATAGCTAAACTTTCATTCCAAGAGTCAATGGTTCGATCAAATTGACCAATTGGGGGAGAGAATTAGAGCTATAGAATACTATCTAATGCTTCCTATGGAATATTCTTTACTTCTCTCGTAAACATAAAAAAAATAAAGGAATAGGAAATGGTTTAAAACGAAAGAGAAATAGGGATGGGTTTCCTACTGGGTTCAAAGGTGAGTTCCGACGGAGAATGAAAGAGAAATAAGGGAGGGACAGTGGGGTTTCCAATTGGGTTCAAAGATGAGTTCTGATAGGGTTAAAATGTTGACGGTTTTAATCAGGTTGGGTTGTTGTTGGTAGTGGAATATGGTGGAATCAAGGTGGGATTCCTCGGGCACTGGTGGGATGGTGGCGGAGGACAGTAGAATCATTGTGGGGTGGAATCGAAGTCGAGTCGGGTTTGTGGGAGAAAAAAATAAAATAAAAAATAAAGTTACTGAGGCTAAAAAATTATTATATCAGCAAAATTTTGTAATTTCATTATATTTTACATCGATATTTTATCTTTAAAAATAATTATTCAAATTATTATAAAAAATAAAATTTGATTTTCAATAAGTAAAATAAATATAATGACCGATATTACATCCACCGATGCCCCTTCTGCTCAGAATCAGGAAACAAATGGCAAAATAGCTGTACCAATTAGATACTACCTTCCCCACAAAAACATTTTAGTGAAAGTTATATTGTTCATTGTATTCTCAATTACTTTCACTAAACAAAAAATTGGAGAAACTCTCTTGTTTTTTAAAATTAATACAAACCACAACGGCAAGTGGACACGTGTCTTAATCAGATGCTAACTGCTGGTGTCAATGAAATAAAGAAATAAAAAAATTGGTGCGCAGTGTCTGTGACTCGAAGAGATTCCTAATTTGTCGAAGTAATCCGCCCTGATCGTGATAAACTAACTTAGGACCTTTTACAATAAACAAATACAGGCGAGGAGATTAATAATTTAGTATTTTTTACTTATATTGCATTGTTAATTGAAGAGCCTTTTTTTTAGAGGCAAATTAATAATTAAGTTGAGCAACTGAAGAAATCATTATATATATATATATATATATATAATTTTATAGCTTTTTTGTCTATCGTTAGACAATCATCAACAATCGTCTGACAGTCATCGATAGTTGTTTTGATAATCGATGATTATTCTAATAGTAAGTGATTAAAATTTTAAAAAATTTAAAATTTTGATCTTTTTTTTGCTTTATAAATAGAATCCCAAAAACACTTGCGAAAAAAAGATGAGGGGGAGAAGCTCAAAAACCTTTCAAAAAAAACAACAAAAAATGGATAAAAAAAAGACACTGTCAGGTTTAAAAAAAAAAGCTTCATGCAAAAAAAAAATCAAATTAGTCTCTTAAAACGGGGAACTCAGCGCCGAGATCACTTATAAAAAAATGAAGCAAAGTAAGTAAAAAAAAAAGATCAGAATACAAAAAAAAAATAAAATTTTGGCCCAAATTTTTAGGCTAGATCTACGCAATTTGGAGTCCTTTTTTTGTAAAACTGAGCTCAAATTTAGACTCAAGAGGCCGCAAAGGAGTTTTTTGAAGAATTTTGAAAAATTTTGGCACCAGCGACAATGGTCAGAGCTCACCATCAACAAGGTTCACGGCGACCGCCACGACCGATGGCCACCTGCCCCAATCGACCTGCAAAAAAAAAAAAAGGAGAGTCTTTTTTAAAAGAGAAGAAAAATGAATTGAAAAAAATTTTTTTGGACCTTTATAGAAACTGCCAAAGCCAAAACAACATTGTTTCAATAAAGGCCCAAAACGACGTCGTTTTAAGCACCCAAAATCCGCGCGTCAACCAGCCGACCCGACGAGCCATTTTTTCCTCAGCCTTTGACCGGTCCATCTAAATCGACCCAGACCGAACTAGATCGACCCCTAATTATCGAACCAACTAGATCGAACCAACCGTACCTAGCCGTTGAACTAACCGGACCCGTATTAACCGGACCGTTGACCAATCAGGTTCAGGTAAAAGAATTTTTTTTTAATTTGCTTTTATATATTTTTTATATATTATTTTTATAATATTTATGCATATAAAAAATATTTAAATTTACCAAAATAAATTTTCATTGTTTTATAATAATAATTAATAAAAATAAATAATAAAATTTATAATAAAAGTTTTTGATATATATAATTAAATTAAAATAGTATAAATTAATAAAAAATATAAGAAAATGACATTTTTATCCGACGATGATATTCAAAAGTATTCCGAGTAGTGATACCTATGAAATCTCTATGTGATAAGATTTTTTTAAATACTACCAGTGTATTGGAGTATTTATAAAAAGTTTTCAATACAATAAAAATTTTTTTTTCTTTAATAAAATAAATAAATAAATAATTAATTAAGAATAAGTAATAAAAATGAGAAAAAAAAATTTTATCCGATGATGGGATTCTAAAAGTATTTCAAGTAGAGATGCTTTAAGAAATCCTTAGGTGAGAAGATTTTTTTAAATATTACCAGTGTAGTGAAATATTTATAGAAAATCTTCAATATAATAAAATTTTCATTTTTTTCAAAGTTTTAAATGAAAATATTAATAAAACAATTAATAAAAATTTCTAAAGAGTAAAATAAAATGTGTGCATCAATATGTTAGCATTTGCATTGCATGCATGACATAATTTTTATGAAAAGTAAATTTGAACCTCTGAAGATGAGATTCTAAGGTATTCCGAGAAGCGATGCCTAAGAAATCTCTAAATCAGAAAAAGTTCTTTTAATGTTACCAATGTACTAAAACATTTTAAGAATTATTTCGATAAAAAGGTTCTAATTTATTTTTCTCAAATAATATTTGAATATAAAAACCAATTCCCAATAAATGAAAAAATCAAGAAAATTATTTTTCAAACACCGAAAATAAGACTATTTATATTAAAATCAATAAATAACATATAGTTAATTGACATCGTTTTAAACAGGCGTTGTGGGGGTGCTAATCGTTCCCCATATGTAGCCGACTCTCAAACCCATACTGTTACGTAGACCCTAAAATTATCATTTTAATAAATTTTAATAAATTTTAAAATTTCATTAAAATAATATGTTTTAATAGGTGACCAATCGCACCTAGCCAAAAAAGATTGGTGGGGACTTCGTTATTTTTTATTTCATTTCCAAATTCGTCGGATGGATACAAAATCGTTACGATAGCTTGTTGACTCCACTGGAAAAGCTATTTGTTTTCAAGAGTTAGGCCAAAATTAACTACGTGTTATCCTTAAATTTTAATTTAAACAGTCCTAGTCGGTTTCTTAGATTTTTATTTTTCACTTTCAATAAAAAAAGGGTAAAAAACAAAACAAATCGAAAACAAAAAATTCACATACATTTCACACATTTATTTTACTATGTCTTTTATGCTTTAGTTTTCTTGTATATATTACTCTTGATAAATTAGGAAACATATACACACACAATGATACGATGCATCTCATGCATGAGCTCTATACTTGAGCTACATCTCTTATAGGGGAAGTAAAGTACCTATGCCCTCGTGAGGTAACAACCTCCGTAATGGCAAGCGAAATACTTTCACTCGAATTAAATCCTTTTCGTTCATAGGCTGTAATGGGTGGGGATCGAAGTGCCTTACTAGTCCAGTGCAGATGACAGTAATGAATAATTTGAGAACCTTTAGACGTATGTCAATCCAAACCCAGCGTGTAATAAGTAGTAAGAAGCCAACCTTAGGTAGAGTTTCGCCTACCTTTTTTAGAGATTACCAAAGTATGTAGGAATAAAAGTTGTGTGTAATACAAAACAAAACAAAACTCAAAAATCTCAAAACTAGAAAAA